ATGTCAACAAATAATGATATTTCTTCTCACAGAAAGCGGTAAAATAAAAGGAGGATATTGTTTGACATTTTCAAGTTTTAAAATTTAAATTATCCATTTTTCAATATAGCACGCTGTTTGGAGTGTCTTGCCAAATTATATTTGATTCAAGTGTCGGCTACTCAGATCATGACGTATATACAGACTGCAATACCGTTGTCTATGTAAAACAAACAAACTACTGTAGCTACTGTTGTGCTGCCACTCATATTCCCATGCCTTTTTCTTCTGAAATATCAAGCTATAATTGGCCAGTTTAGCATAATTTTTCGGTGACCAATCAGATGTTGCCATTCCTAGGATGTCGATTTCGCAACATTTGATTTGTTTGAACCTTACAATTGAACTGCATTTCAAAATTTGTGAATTCAACACTGGCAAGATCTTAAAATAATTCCGCTCCCCCTGACCTCCCCCCTCTCTTCCCCCCTCTCCTCCCTCTCCACTCCCCCCATCCCGCCTCCCCTCCCCCTCAATTCTTTTCAGAGTGTTGTTTTAGATTCATTCAAATTCGGCGAAAAATTGGGAGGGGTGAAAAATTTGCAGTTCTAATCTATTTGTCCAGTACTAAAGACAAATTGGGCAGTTTAATTTACAACCTAAATATTAAGTACAACCTCTAACGAAATATAACCTAAATTAAATTAAATTGAATTAACTTTCTCCTTGTAAATATTTTCAGGTAGTTGCATCTCTACCAACCGAATATTTGTTATTATGGCACTGTCTACACGGGCACAGACCGTTCAAGAATATAACCTTAAAATGTGGTTGTCTTTTTCCCTGGAGGATACTCCAGAAAATTCCAGAAATGCAGTCATTTGGAGTAAAAAATATAAACATTTTCTGGGAAACAACCCCCCAGACTCCCTGTTGTCTTTACAAGCACTTACGTACTTGGGTGGTGGAACAGGGATGAAAGTGGGGCGATGAATGCCCTCAAAAATAATTATTACAGAGAGAGAAGAACTTATTATCCGCTGTCTCAAATACAAACGTATCCCCGGACCAACGGGGCGAGGATATACGAATTCCACCCAGCTGTTTACATCGGCGGAAATGAATGCATTAGCGAAGTCTGAAGTGGCGTCAAGGTTTTTTTACGGGAACCACTTAGTATTTTAATAAAGGTTATCATTATCATTCCTGATGATGACTGAATCTTAGTCGAAAGCTAGAACGATTAAAATGTTTATTTTTCGGAGTTACCGTTGTTTTATATTGTGTCAAAGTCTATTGTGTACTGGTGGAACTCATCACTGATCTCAAAAATATGGCTGATCGTCAGAAGTGGGATAAGCGAGATTTCAATTTTCAAAGACGTATGCGTGGAAAATGGTTTCATATACAATTAGCTATAAAGGAATTTTTGTTTGAAAGAAATGAGAGGAATTGATTTATTATGGGAAATATAGGGCAAGTTTACAAAATTTAGACGAGTGGTTGCTTGATGCTTGTAATTCTAGTTACATTTTGAATACTCAGGATTCCCCATTACATGGTTTGAAACAGTTTTTTGGAGGGACGGGGGGGTCATGTTTTTAATCGTAGAAGATTTTGCAGGTCAAATCTTCCCCAAAATTAGGGTTAGATTAAGATTAGGGTATAGGGGTTAGGGCTCAAGATGTGCCGCGAATTTATCATGATGATAAATTTGGACGTGTCTAACAATTTACTCATATAGTAAATTCAAAGGTGGAGCTCATGCTGTAGATTTGGCCCCGCACCATTACGTTAATTTATTCCTTCGAAAGAAACATCTGCTGCTTGAATCAGTGGCGATGGTAGAGGACACGCTGCAGAGCAGGAGTAACAATTTTTTAAAAAATTCCTCTAACTACACAATTTTTTGCTGTTCCCTTTGCAAGGTATAGGCGAATTGTGTGATTGATTTACACAGTGCAACTCAAGTTGTAAGCAAGGTTGCATGCGACGATTATTCGCAACAACGCGGTGTTTTGCAATTCGTAAAAATAAAATCCTAACGGCGCGCCACTCAACGAAACTGAATGGTAATGGCAACGTCTATAGTGAGATTTGTTAATTATCCTCTGGAAATCAATGAACCGAGCACTGCATGGCAAAAGTTTCTATAAACAGCAAAACCTATATTATTTTTGTCTTCTGGCTTCATAAAATATTAATGTGTTTATCAAGAATACATCCCGGGCAGATCAGTGATTCCGGCACGAAACTTCAATTTTTCTTGCTTGATTAAAATTAAAACTGCTCAAACTGCATCTTATTTTATCAAAACCGATAGGAAATTAATTATACATATATTTTCCATCGTATGTTAATAACGTTTTAACGATTGTTTGTGCATTTTATCCGAAAAATGCAATATTGCAGAACGATTGCACTTGCTTTATGGAAATGTTAAATTAAATAGATAGAGTAGTGCAGTGCCACTGCATGCCAGCCTCTTAAATAGAATCACATTTTCAACTTTATATGTACGTTCAACTTACATACTGTTTTGACTTAGGGAAGTGTCTAGCAAAAAATGGGGGTATACTGTAATTATCATCCAAGACACGGGCTAACTTGATAAGTATACCCAATTAATTAAGAGCTAAATTAACAAGTGCAAGCTTAAATGCAGGTCATAAACAGACACAAACAATGACTTCTATATTATGTGGCTGAACTACTGTACTACTGTGCATTCATCTATTTGTGCTCGATGGTGCATAAAGTTTGTTTCAGAACTGTTCGAATATGAATAAAGTTTATTTCATCATCCACAATTTTGAGAAGTTACGTCTCGTCTAAATTTGAATATTTTCAACAAATTAGAATACAGGATTTTTAGTTATATTAGAAAGACCCCACGACATTTGCCCTGTGAAAGGTTTTTCACTTGTACATATACATACAACGCCTGGGTAGAAAACAGTTTGTACACTGCTTGTGACACATCCAACGAAGATATCTCAAAATGGATTCGAACAGTGGAAACGACTCGTTCAACCTTGCCGACAATTCCGAATATAGTGAAACAGTTTTTGGACCAATCGTGTTATGGAATCTTGCAGTTTACTTAACTGTCATCCTTACTGCAGCAGTCACCAATATTCTGCTCCTACTTGCTATCTATAAAAATCCTCTGAAGTGTTTTCGCAACCAAACAACATACTTCATCGCGAATTTAGGCATTGCTGATTTACTAAACTCGTTGTTTCTCTTCGAAGAACTGTTGGTATCACAGAGTACGTATAAAAGAACTTCCCGTCTGCCAGGCGTTTGGGGAACAATTAACTCAACAATAGGAAGTTTTTCTTATTTTTTAACATTCCCTTCATTGACTGCCCTGGCACTGGAAAGATATGTATCTATAGTTCATCCACTATGGCATCAAGTTAAAGTGACATCTCGGCTGTGTTATGCATGGATTGGTGTGGTGTGGTTAATCAACTGTATCTATATTGGAATATTGTATGCGTTTACCACTCGAGTAACAGGCATATTGACTGGTTATCCGAGTATGTTTTACCTAACTACAGTGTTTATTTATCTCCTAGCGTTTATTTCACTCCGTAAACAACGTTTCTCTCTTACAAATGATACCACAAAATCAGAAACTGTTAGACGGATGATGGAACTACGTTTAAAGAATCAAAATCGTTTTCTGACCACAGTGTCGATCATAAACATTGTCCTTACATTCGGAATAATACCATCAGTAGTTGGTCCGCACTTGGAGGACGTGGTAGAGGGGAGACGTGCAAGTTTTATGATGGATATTCTGTTTTTGCTTAACATGGCAGCGAACCCGTTTTTGTACATTTGGAGGTTACCAAAATATAGGAAAACATTTTTGGTTATGTACTGTTGTAAAAAAATGAACATGCATATATAGTAGCATGCCGTATATGTGCAGTATATTATTCGAAAGTACCCTGCAATTAGCGTGGTTACTATATTTTGATATAAGCAAGTACAGTATATAGACCAACATAAAACGTCAAATTAAACATTACTATACGGGAATTTTACTCTATAATTCCCCGCCGTCTTGCTTCGACGCATAAGATCCAGGAATATGAAGGACTGTTTGTTTGATCTGCATGTGACAATGCTTGCAATTGCATGCAACAATGGAATGGCTTGTTGCTTTTTCAGCTTCTTCTAACTCAATATTAAAATTATATATTATGTTAACTTACTTAATGGTCGTAGTATATGTTTAGAGCTCACAGCAATTGCTTTAGGGCGCTTTCTAGTTGAAGTTCACACCAGCTAGACCATAATTTCTGTCTATATATTCACAGAAAGATCGGAGCCATGTTTCTCGAATACTGTACTTAGTGAAAATGCTTCTTCTAAATTATCCAAATTTTCTTGTCAGATGGGTCCAAAGAGTTCCTTTCAAAAATTCGACCGTTCTGAGCGACTGGTTTGTCCGTGTTAATGGAAAGCGCCATTATACTATTGTGTTGTGCCCGCCATTGGTAATTAATATCGTTGTTTCATGTCGTGGTTGTTCTTGTCATGTCATGTCACACCTCAGATACAAAATAATATAAGATCCTGAACGCCCTATGTAAACCATCAATGATATGATTCTTCCATGAACATCAGAAATTAAAGAGATCTGAGAGAGTTAGGTGGAAAATATGAAGTTGCATACTGGCATTGCAGAAATTTAAGTGGATATTCAAAGATTACGAGGATCTACAAACTAGCCACTATATACTATGTACGAAGCTCCAGGGATTGATTTCGACAAAAAAGCTGGGACAAGTTTCATCGTTTCATTATATACTTGATGTTAGAGCAAGGTCAATGAGGTTGAAACACGTGTTTTTCCATGATTAAAATCTATATTTGAAGGAAAATTTATTATAACGAGACAGTAATTTATGCCTATAGTTTATAGTAATTAAAGATTGGATGTAAAGTCCACACCAGGCATGTACATAGATATCTTATATACACTAGATAGTGCATCTAATTAGTCTGCAATTCAAAAATTGAAGCCGTGATTGCAGACTCAGAATATTCCCATGAAATGAGAAGACTCGTATGTTTTCTATTTCTTAAACAGGGAACTTAAACATTAAGGTAAACCTATTCCAAATACATTTTCAAACTATTCAAATGATGAAAGTTATTGTTGTTTTTTAAGCGTTTATTGGCGAGTGGGAAACTTCAACATGGCCGCCATCTATTCAAATTGGGGTGATCGCTGGAATATTCTTGGCTTCAATTTTACTAAAAGAGATGCGCTATCTATAGTGTACAGTATATAAGATATATATGGGCATATAGAACTGAAACGATCACAGTGAGGTTTGTGCTCAATGTATATAACATATACATTTAATTAAGTCTTTGTTGGCAAAAACAATATCAGGCAGGCATGACGCCAGTTATCTTCCGCTTTAGTAGATCTAGTAGATGATGACACAGCGACTTTAAGGGTGGACGTTTTGATATCCTGGGAGGGGGCAGATAAAAAATCCATGCATATACAAAAACGAAAATAATAGTATTTGGATGTTGAGACCATATTAAAATTTTCATGTTAAAATATTAAAAATACTCAAACTGTTCTTATTTTATTAAAACTGATAAGATATTAATAATATATATTGTCGTTCGGTTGTTGATACGTTTTAATATATGTCTGAGCATTTTATCAAAATTGCAATATTACAAAGAGATTGCACTTACTTTATGAAAATGTGTAATGAAAATGCGTAATGAAACTGAGTCAACATGATAAGTATGCTATTATTATAAAAAAGACAAATATTAGGCTATAACAAGTGTAGGCTTAAATATATATACATGTCATAAACAGACACAAACAATGAATTATATATCGTGTGAGCTGAATTTCTGTGCTCGTTTCACTGTTTTGCAGTATTTAGCTAGCATTCATCTATATGAAATGGTCGATGATGTATAAAGCTTATTTTAACCTCGACGCCCAGAAATCCTGAATATCGATAAGTGACGTCAATCGCCCAATCAGGACAAAGGATTCCCACTTGTACTTATTATTAGATACGATCACACGATATTTCTGAGATATATCGGAGGAAGATATGCCAAACTGCAGGACTGGAACCGTGGTAATGACTCATTTAACTAATCTATACTGACAATTTCGAATACGCTTCACAACCATTTTTAGGAACAATCATAGCATCCAGTTTCTCAGTTTACTTATCTATCATCGTTAATGTAGCAACATGGCATATTCTGCTCCCATTTTCCCTATCTCACCCGCGGAGTTTAGCTTTCGTCATTTTTGTCGACGGTTATTGAAACCATGCAACATGCAAAGACTTTAACTATTAATTTTTCCCTACAATGGTCTACAAGTTGCCTTGCACATCAGCTTGCCAAAAATTATCTAGTAATCACGTAATCCCTATCCTGCATGTGGGAATGGTTGGCGGGGAAGCGGACATACATGCACAGCAAACAAATGAAAACATTTGGCTCACACACCGCTGGGAGTTGTCGCAGCATCAGGCATTTTTCACACAATGCTCACTTTACTACAAACATACATTACATTACATAATCTAACATGTATGTTTGAACTTCTTATTACCAAAGGGTGCATGAGCGAGGGGCTTAAGCTTATGTCAAACTTCTTAAAGTTTACAACAATGGGTGAGCGGGTGGGACTTACAGTGTACGGTGAGCAACAACAAAAATGTGCTCTGCTCATCTAACCTACACCACCCGATAACACCCGATTTCTATCGTGTCCCAAGCAGCGTGTGAGCGGAAAACCTTTCCTGCTTCTTTTCGCGGATTTTAGCATAAAATGCAAAACAAAGATTCAGCCAGAGTTCAGTTTCAAAAGCTTATTTAGAGGATTAAACAGGTTTTTTTTAATATTTTGACTTGACATGCGGAACATAATGTCTTAACTAATTATGCAGACGTATAGTGTCCTCGAGATTCCTTTCTCAAGTAGGATATGTTACCTTAATACGCACTTTCGCAGAAAGAAAAATGCTTGGCTATACAATTTTGCTTTCGTGATTGAGACCTTTGTTTGCGGCACTTTATCTCGTTACTGTAACCTTATACAGTAATAATAGTGACAAAGTCCTTCATATAATTATACCATGCAGCGATAATTAAGATGAATGGCTCTAAAGCCGATATCTCAATCACGAAAACAAGGCAGTATTGCTTTGACAAGTGTACAAGTATTTTGCGGAAGGGTGTACTTTCCCCTTTCGGATTATAATATGGCAATTTATTGTGATAAAACATGTAGATTTCAGATTATAAACTATATTGTAAATAGTTTTTTAGGGTTTTAGATAATTTAGTTCGGTAGGCTACTGTATACTGGAGGAATCTCACTGAAAATCACTTTTGGTGACTGAGAGCTTATTGTAAAAATAATGCAGAAATACAAATAAATAAAGCAAAAATAAATAAAGTAAAGCCAAAGAGAACAAGACTGACGCTCAAAAAGCTGGTTATCAAAAGAGCGTTAACTCGCTCGATACGCATGTTAGATGGCCTATACTACAATCATATGCCCCATTGAAGAGTTGCCACCCGTTTGTTGAAGAAAAACTGGGGAAAGCAAAAACTGCTTTACTAGGCTTGTAAAGAGTACAATGATTTGGACTATAATACTAGATCCATTGTCATTGAACAGCTACTGTAGTTAGGAACATTTACTGATTTAGGAATGAACTTCTCAAATCCCTATCTTTATAATACTCATAGTGAATATATATAAAATATAACTTACTAACTCTTTGCATCCTTGTAAATACTGTAGGTATGTATAGCATCATGTGTCCTATACTATAGTCTCCAGTGGCGTAACGTTATATCAGGGGGCCCCCGGTTCAAAATTTTCGAAGGCCCCCCCCTAGTAAGAAGTGCCAAAGGCACGAGTCGAGCGCCATATATGTACGAGTATTCTAGGGGGTCCAGGGCATGCTCATCCGGAAAATTTTTGAATCTAGACTCTCTGAAATGCCATTTCCTGGACTTTGGGGGAGAGATTTTACAGAATTCTGATGGTCGTAAAACGACATTGTAACATATCAGAGGCCCTGACCAATGTTTTTGCTCTATCGCCTAAGCCTGGGGGCCCCCATTTAGGTTGGGGGCCCCCGGGTTCTCCCGGTCTGAGCCCATAGTAGTTACGCCACTGATAGTCTCATAATTTTTCTGGTATATCTTTTATATCCATACTTTATACCAATATGTAAATACTGCACGCACACTCATATTCTTACTGCAGGTACAAATAAACAGCAGTTTTGGCTTTTTTAGTAAAATTAACTAGGCTTAAATGTTCCCCAAAACTTATAGGGTTACTTACTGTATGGAAAATTTGAGTACAAATTGGCATCGACGACGATTGTAAATCAATTGTTCACTATCCACCAAAAATCCGTGCCGAAACCTAAACTTGACTGGGCACAGGTGCCTGGCCGCCTACTAAATATTCCCTCTAAATAGAGAACTGGTAAACATGCATGGCGCAGGAAGTTGTCGAGGGAATATAAAATCATGATAGTGATGAACTGCATCAGACTTACATAAGAGATTTTTCACTAAATTTTATAATAGACTTACGACATTTTTCACTTCAGTTGGTATAAAACCTTTGACTATAGCGGCAAACCAAAGATCTCGGGTTCAATTTCAAAAAACAGTCAAGTTTTTCTAAGAAGATTTTGCTTATAATTTCATTTATTGCGGTTCTGGTCAGTGTGATGAATGAGAGAGGTTTTCTAGATGGCGGCTATTTTTTAAGTACGTTAACACGTAAAATAATCAACAACTAGACACTTATAACATTCCCAAACCTTACCGTAAGCCTAACCCCAATCCTAACCTTAACACTTACATTAACCTGGCTAAAGCCGGGAACACTGAATTGAACCACCTTGAAAAACATAATTATGCATAAAGGGGTACTGTTTAAGAGGCTGCTTTAAATTCCCATGAGCACAAAATCGTGCGCTTCACAAAGATATTTTAATTTCTTAATAAGTCCATATTTGTAATACAGTATATGCACTCTGTCAATATTTTACGCATCTTTGCGTTCAGCTTAGTGCTAGGGCATTTAAATTCTAACAATACGTTATTTCAATAGTTTTGGTTTTTTGGGGACACTTTGTACTGTAGAATGGTGCAAATTATAGTCGCCATTGGCATTGAAAATGATCATTACACATCTCTTTATTTATATATTTGTAAATTTTGTAGAGAAAAGTAATATTGATCAGAAATATCTACATCCACGATTTTCATCAGTATTGCTGGAAATATAATACAAAATGAAAAGCGTGTATAAATTAATTCGCCGCGCGAATAAATAAATGTTTTGCTTACGTTTTCGATTATATATATAGTATCTGTTTTCAGCCAAGTATGTAGTTTGGTGTGACTTTCGCATAGAGCTATAGAGAATTTGGAAAACACAACGGCAACGAGAAGATGCTCATCGACAATAGCATCTTAATTTAAATCACATTATCATTCGCATTCATTATTTCACAATTTATAAAGAGAAATGTACGTTTGGAATGACATTCGTATATGTTAGTTTACGTCACTTCAGAAGGATGGATAAGTGGTCACCTAGTGTGAACCTCAGTGTTGACATCCTGAAATGTCATTATAACCGAAATGTCGCCTATATTCCATCTAAAATTCACTGAAAAAGTGAAAATACTGATCCTTTGAGCTAGTCTGAGTATAGAAGACCGAAACATACCTGTGTTAAACGCAGAGTTTTAGAAGCCTTGCTCGTTGTAAAAAAATTGTTTCAGACGGCAGTATTCGATTGTGTGCGAGTTATCAGTTTATCATGGTTTTGGCACATGAATAATCAGTCTAATGCTGGCAAACTTGACACCTGACGGCTCGAGAATCAAGATTTTCTCATGTAACATTAGATCTTCAAAGCAAATAATTATATAGGCTTTCATGGTCATCAATAGCTCGTGTGATGTCGATGTAATTTTAAACACCGGCCCGTTAATCAAGAGGAAAAGCCCTTTCGACTAAACTCACATCATTAGCATGTCGATGCACTCAAAGTAATTTAGTAATCTGTTTTCCGGTTTATGTCAAAGTCAACGCAATAGTTACCCAAAACATTTTGATGGCCAGATTAACTTTCTTTAATAAATATACATTTAATTTCGTATTCTATGTTTGACGGCAATCTCTTGAAAAGGGTTACTACAAACAACTGCGCCTTATCAGCCACACCACCATGGATAATTAGCAGCCCTCGCATGTGACTATAGGCAAAGACTTTGACCGAAGCTATTAAGGTGACTATTTAGTTTTCACATTGATATACTATTTAGTTTTCACATTGTGGTGTTCCAAACTTCCAAGGGGAAATTTCTAAAGTCTTATTTAGGATCCGACTGCGAGACAAAGTGTGTTAATAGACACTATTAGTAAAACAATTAAAGCGGCGTAATGAACCCATCATATTGCTATACGGCATGCATAAAGTCGAAGATGAATTGCGTATGAGCCTTCGCAAACCCCCGCACAATAAACTGTATAAAGTAAAAGGTAAAAATGGCCTACCTTAAGTCTTTTCAATTATCTCCTAGACCAAGAACTCGTCCAAATAACAGCCGCTTCTTTAAACAATTGTTTTCCACGATTCTTTCAATGTTCGCACGTGCAGCCGAACAACAATATGAATACGAATGGCAGCATAACAGGGGGTGTCAATGCAAATTAGTTGTGGTTGCACACCGTATTGTATCCGGTCAACCGCGAAATTATTTGTCTGGAGCCGTCTTGTGTATTTGCTAGAAGAAATCGGGCAAAGTACACCGAGATTACTTAGTTCTTCTCAAGTGCTCTGTATATAGTCACACGACAAATACCGATATCTATAAAGTGCATGCCTGCCATTCCTTGTTTCATTTCGCATCTGTGCCCTTGCGATTCATATCAAAAGTGATAAGTCGTTGCTTCCGATGTCCAAGAAATTCATTTCAAAAATTGGTCATGTGGTGTTTCAAGGAAAGATCACATTTCTTTCGATCAAGCCCTTTCTGCCTTCAAGCGCCGTGTAACTATTTCATGTGAAATTGAAATTCTAGTACATGGTTCATACATAATTATACAAGTGGATAATATGTTGTGTATAAGTAAACTATATAATAAAGAAATTACTCATATTTTGCTTTATCTAAAAAGTATATAAGTAAATGATTTAGAAGCCAATAGTACAAACTTAGGTTCGATACAAATTTAAGAGACGGAAAAACGAAAACAATAATAATTTTATGTGAATTCTAGAACCAGTATATAGACCACTTATACACCTTGTTGCACGGTGGCATACGTGCAAAGTTTCTATGATAAGTGTTCATATCAATCATATGACAAGTATTATTTGCTAATTGCACTGTTTGCATGTACGGATAGCACATTTTCTATGCGATAGCTATTATTAGCCCGCATTATAACAATACGTAGTCACAGCTGAACCGCATGGGAGTCCTCAAATTACTTTGCCAAATTTTCTTTGTTACTTGAGACAAACACCGCATATCATCAACTATCATCAACATGCACTTTGCCAACTTTTCTCTCACAACTGGTACTGTCAAGTGGCAGGCTAACTTTTGAACAAGTGCACCTGTAGTGTACAGGTCGCAGTAAAAATTCGCTAAATTGCCTATACAAACGAGCAAATAAAACTTTTCATTCGAAAACTTCGGTTGCCATAGAAAACGCGCTCGTCTGTAATCGGCTTTAATGAGTTAATTGACAAATCAACGACATTAACGTCAAGTTATTCAAGCTGCTACATCATAATATTTACATCACTTTTCGGCACGGCTCATAACAGCCCGACATATGCAGTTAAAACGTTCGAAATTCTTTATGTGAATTCACTGAAAATTTCTACTTACAGCTAAGGGATGTTTGTAAAGAAAGATGGGCACTTTTAAAAGACAATTGAAGTATTGTAATGTATGTTTTAGCTTCGATACACGTTTCCAATATCTCTTACAGTACTCCTGCACAACGTCAACATTTAAAACCCATGACAATCATCACTTCCCATATAATTGAGGTAGTGCCGAAATATAAGTAGTGCACAACTTACCCGTTACGTCATTGAATCGAACTAGAGCAGGCGTACGTGCATATAGGCTATCGTGAACACGGCACTAATGTACTAATTAAACTATAAAATATATCTAATTACTGTATATAAAAAAAGACTAATCTAAAACTGTGAACGGACAACAATTATATAATAAGTGATGAATACTCGTAATGTTCCCCGTCGAAACTACCCGTCAAAGCTTATTCTTTATTGCATTTTACAAGCTATAATTGTTTTTTCATTTAATAAGGTTTTATGTTATACCACATTTGCGACAAGCTAAAGCACTATATACACACGGACACGTGGGTAATATTATAATCAACAGCATAAGTTAAGCTATCCACAAAGCCGGGAACTGCATGCACATTGATCTGTTGCTTGAACACTTTTAAACATGAATGAATACAAACTATTTGAAACAACTATACACATGGAGCCTTTATATAATTCCTGGTGGTATAAATGCCACCTGCACAAAAGTTTGGCCATGATATTAATTATACAAATATGCAATAATGAGGATGACTTAGGAAAGCCAAATAGGCTTGCTGTTGTCTGGCATTGCGGAAAAAGTGAGCGGACGCGTGGACGGTGTGCGGAGCGGAATCAGCGGATATCAGGATAAAACGTGGCTTCAAGCAAAAACTGAATAAAGCCCAAATTTCGTCTTATTATTGAGATTTTGGTATCCTATGTAATACTACAGTCATAATAGTGCAGACAATAAAGCAACATTATGCAGTGTTATGACACTAGTTTGAAAATCGGATATGGCAATATAAATTAAGTTTGTCTTATTTGAAAGAACATTTAAAATTATATATAAACTTCGTTTTCAAGCATTCCGTATCTTGCTTGGTTTTCGAAATAAATGACTTGTTTTGATCAAAAGCACTGAGCATGCATCCCGCCATCTTGGATATGCATTCGATATGCATACGTCACAAGTATGGTAAAAAGCGAAATTTTTATCTTGCGAACCACCAATACTCATTATCTCTATATAACTCGATTTTCCGAAGTCTTTTTAATACTCAATTA